TTAAACAAATTTTGGAAAAAAAAGAAGGATTGTTTCGGAAGCATTTAATGGTTTGTGATGTATAGTTTTAATCAAAAAAAAAAAAATTTTTTTTTAATTGAAATTAATTATCATATTTTACTGAAGGGTAAACGCGTAAACTATGCTGCTCGTTCCGTTATATCACCTGATCCATATATTGATACGGATGAAATAGGAGTAATTAATCATACTTTAAATTTAAAAATTTTATGTATACTTTGCTAACTATTGATCTAAATTTTTAAATTACATTTCATTCATATATAGGTACCCATTAGGTTTGCTAAACAGTTGACGTATCCAGAACCGGTGACATCTTACAATGTTAAAGCGTTGAGTCAGGCTGTGTCAAATGGTCCAGATGTATGGCCAGGTGCTACATTTGTTCAAAATGAGAATGGTTCTTTGATAAATTTAGCAAGTTTATCATTAGAATCTCGCATGTCGCTTGGACAACAATTACTTAGAGAACAACAAGACAAATCATCTTTTACTCAGTATTTTGTTAAGACACCGTACATAAATAAAAAGATATATCGTCATCTTCAAGATGGTGATATGTTGTTAATAAATCGTCAACCTACTCTTCACAAACCATCTATAATGGCACATCGTGCTCGTGTGTTGAAAGGAGAAATGACAATTCGTATGCACTATGCTAATTGTAAGGCGTACAACGCAGATTTTGATGGAGATGAAATGAATATGCATTTTCCTCAAAATGAAATTGCGCGTGCTGAAGCCTCATTAATAGGCAATACAAATCGACAATATCTTGGTCCGACTTCGGGATCTCCTTTGAGAGGCTTGATTCAAGATCATGTAGTGGCTGGTGTGTGGATGACTTGTAAGGATACGTTCTTTACGAAAGCTGATTATCACCAGATCGTATTTTCTGCACTAAGATTAGATTCTTCTGATTTGAGACGAATTTTGACCGTACCGCCTGCTATACAAAAACCGAAAGCATTGTGGACTGGAAAACAAATAGTACGTTCAGATTTTCGTATCTTAATATATGCGTGTTATTGTTGCATCTAAAGTAGCCACCCTATCTAAAGTAGCCCTGGGCTAGAATTACGATTTAGTGCATGCATGAAGAT